CCGCCTGCACCAACCCCCCCTCCTTCCCTACCCCCCCCGAGCGGCTTCCCCGGGCGCGGGAAGCTTGCGTGGGTGGGAGCGCGGGGAAGGAGCTCAGCATCCCAGGGCAGGTGGGGGAACGCCCGGAGCGCGTCCCTGCTCCCCGGATGCACCACCCTGGTCGCCGCACCCTGGTCCACATCCCAGAGCCCCCGGCACGGCCCTCGTCCTCCCCGGGAGCGGGACCAGGACTCACTGCGTGGGTGGCGCAGTTGGCCGCGTGCTCATACTCCGTCGGCTGGTACCGCCGGTTGGACGGGACGCGGTGGTTCATGAACCTGCGGGGAGAGAAACAAGGTCAGGGGACAGGGTTTGGGGGAAAACGCTCTCACATAGGGTCTGCACGGGTGCCTCTGGCGTCACTTGAAGAGCAAGGGAAGGAGCTGGCTCTGCCTGTTGCTCCGGGGAGGAGACAACGGATGCACTGATGACATGGAGGATGCAGGCGAAAGCTGTGACAGGTATGATCTGGAGCACTTTCCACCCCAGGATCTGGTGTCCCAGAGAGAAAAGTCTCGACCTGTAGGGCTGAGACAGTGGCGCAGCCCTGCAGCGATAGCGAGGACACCGGGATGGGTCGGACTCACCGTGGGGTCCGCACTAGCTGGTGGTGACCCCGGCCCAGCCCAGCACCGTGGCCAGCTCTGGCTTCTCCTCCAGGTGATATCCCCTGCTGTGCCTCGGGTTTTGGGGTATCACCTATACCTGTTTCTAAGGCCTCCTGTACCTGCAGAGGCAGCGTCTCAGCACAAATCGCTGCAAAGGGAAACCACACCGTGTGCTCTCTTGCAAACTTTTATCTTCTGTTTCTCGCTTAAGCCGAGGTATCAGATTGCTCTTGGCGTCCAGAGGAACATATCGATTTCCCTTGTCAGATCAACACACGCACAGCGACAAAAAATAGCGTCGGGGCAAGCTAGGCTGTTGCTAGGTGCATAATGCTATAGCAGGCGGCAAACTAAATGTGTAGCTGTCCAAGCAGGTCAGAGCGAAGCGTCATCTAGCTCAGCGCCCTGGTCCTGGCAGTGGGCAATAGCGGCGACTCCGAGAAGGACTATAAGAAATGGGCAAATGCAGAGTGGCCCTTCCCAGGCTGCACCCTCCTGCTCCCCGTAAGCAGCAGTTTAAAGGCTTTTCTGCTGCGGATCAGATCAGGGCAGCTCAGTTCAACAGGCCCCGATGGAGCTGCCCTCCAGGACCTGGTTTATTTGCTTTCTGACCGTTTCGATCTGGCAGCTCCCGTGCCATCTGCAGCGCGGGGTCACGCTGCGTGAAAGAGGGTTCCCGCAGCCGGTTCGGACCTCGCGGCTGCACCGTTTCACGCTGGGGTTACCGGAAAGGGATTCAAGGAGGTACAACCGTGCGAGGCAGTCCCCAGCAGGCGGCAGTGACGGCCCGCAAGGAGACGCGGTCCCCAGCCCGGATGACACCGCATTCAGCCTGCCGCTGGCCTCACCACGGCCAGGCGGCACGCTGACGAGCGGGATCGCGTTTACTGAAAAATAGCTTCAACTCGGAGCGAGGAGCGGAAGGGTCATGCTCTCGCTGCTCTGCCGGGAAAGGCGACGCTGCTAGCAAAACGCGAGCAGGACGGGTTTCGAAACCACTGGGGTTTAGGAAGGCTGCTCATCCTGGGAAACACAGCACAGTTTTAAGGCAGTTGCTTGTTTTTTAGAGCAGCGGTTCTTAGATTTGAGAGGTGATGGGCTGCACCTGCCAAAGGCCGTTCACACCTGCTGCACCGTGCAGCATCCTACATGCCAGGTGCTGCGCAGCATCCCCCA